CCCTGCTCCATGCCCAGAAGATGGCAAACAACAACAACAAACCTCCAGGGTCCCTGGCTAAACTGATCTGGAGAACAATTGCTTCCTGACCCTAAAGTGGCGATCAGCATCTCCCTGAACATGTAAGAAAGGGCCACAAGAACTGAGCACTGATGCGACCTTTCCTGTCCTCCCTTCTCGTGATCTGCCTAAGTTCACAGACTCAGTATTGCTGTCTGATGGCCATCTAGCCTCTGTTTGAAAACCTCCAAACAAGAACTTGGACACAGACACATTCTGCAGGGTTTTTTATCTGGTAAAGAGAGTGTTCATTTTGCTGGTTCAAGACAGGCTAGGAAAACAATAGTCCAATAATATATTATCATACTGCAATGTGTAGAATGGTACACTGTGTGTGCTGCATTTAGCTTTAATGCTCATGTCTTACGTACACTGTACATGCGCACTAGAGATTCCTCATTTAGCACCCCTTAGGCAGTGCCTGAAAGCTGAAATATGATAACTTTAGTGCATGGGAGTGTGTATTGGTGAACTTACAAGGCAACATGGGTCATATTAATTATTTAATTTAGAAAATGCATATGCCACCTCTGCTGAGAACCAAGAGAGACACCATAAAGCAGATTCTCTCTATTAAATAAGTCCCAATCACTGAATTCAAGTGGGAGAGAGAAGATCAGGAATGTAGATCGTTGAGGTGTTCTGGGGCACAAAAGAAGGTTTCATCCTGATATGCCTTTCTGTGCTCTAGACTGGGGGCGCCGGCGCCAGCCAGGAATGCAGGAAGCTGCTGCATGACTTCTATCCAGAGATTTTTAATTTTTACTGTCATGATTTGTTAACATTATGACTGGGTGAGTGAAAAACAGCCATAAGGAGAGAACCATAAGGAGAGCTATTGACCTTACTGTCGCTTCAAGCATGATTCTCAAAACCAGCAGTGCCTTCTTCCGGCTCATGGGTAATATACATGCATGTGTGCATCAGCACTGAGAAGAGTTTGGAAAGGTAATAGCAATGGTTTGGAGTCGTCGGAATTCCACATGGGCTTGCACTAGAGGAAGTGTGGAAAAACCCCTCATGCTAGGCAGCCCCTTGTGCTAAGTTGAATGTAGGGTATCCAGAACCGATTTTCCACTTGTGCAAAAAGGTGTGTGAGCAATATCCAGGCATTATAAGGTATAGGGAGGGAAGTGGTTAGTGTTGCACAAGGTCTTGCACGAATGGCACTCCACTAAATCCATTTATGTTTCTGCTTACTTGTTGCTGGATCCAAGCCAGTATATGTAAGAAGCTCAGAAAGTAGAAGAGGCCCTGGGTATGGCTTCAGACTCGACAGCTTTTGTGAGACTTGGTTTTTCTGTTAAGCCTTTTAGGATACTTTGACCTTTGAAACCTGACAGTTGATGGTTGTCATGGTCCACCCTGATATATTTACTTGTTCCAGTCCCAGGTGGCACCACCGTCTTAGTGGAACTGACTCCGGACATTCACATTTGTGGACTATGTAAGCAACAGTTCAACAATCTGGATGCGTTTGTTGCACACAAGAGAAGCGGCTGCCAGCTCTCTGGTACGGCAGCCGGGACCACCAGTACGGTGCAGTTCGTGGCGGAAGAAATGGTACCGGCAACACAGACTCAAACCACGACTAGAACAATCACTTCGGAGACCCAAACCATTACAGGTATTTTTCCAGGAAATGTTGAAAGGAGATACTCGGGAAAGCAGAGGAGCCGTGTCCTATATCGCAACAGATCCTTGGTCAGTTGGCCACTCCATGTCCTTTCCCGATCTGTAAACAGTTCTTGACTATGGCAATAGGAATCACTTCCAGATGACTAGCCAGGAAAGCATCAGAAAACCTCGTTCTTTGCTTCTTTTAGACCATAAGGTGCTAGCATAGACGCATATTGACAGAATCCCAGAGCCAGGAAGCAACATCAGGGGAAGGTCTCAGCTTCTGTGCCCTGTTGCTGGCCCTCCAGAGGAACTGGTTGGCCACTGTGTGAGACAGGATGCTGGACTAGGTGGACCACCGGTCTGATCCAGCAATGCTCTTCTTATGCTCCGTGGTGCCATCCTAACCAGAGTTACACCTTTCTACGTCCATTGAAGTGCATAGGATGGCATAGTGCTAACATGCAATTTTGAAAACGCCTGGTTGGTGGAGGCTGATCAACCTTGCTTTGTTTCGGTGGTTTGGCTGAGCATGGCAAAACTGGCAGATGAGGGGTGGGTTTGGGCTGTCAGGGACAGAGTCTGGTGGATCGGTGTGGGGGAGGAGGGGTCAAGCAAACAAAAACTTCGAGCTCAAAATACTTGCAGCTTTTAATGGAATGCTTGATGTGACAAGGTATATAAGGAGTTCAGACTATCAGGGTTAAATTGAAAATGCCCCTGACTTAGGTCAAGGTACCCTACGCTTATGAAAAAGAGTATGTTTTTATACCCCACTTTTTTTTTTTTAACCTTAAGGACTCTCAAAGCAGCTTCAAATGCCCTTCCCTCCCTCTCCCCCCAACAGAA